CCAAATAACTAATGGATGAAAGGATAGCTGAAAAAGAAAGGACATTATCATAATAATCAATTTAATGTAAAAAAAAAACGTTACTAAGTGATTAGATTACATTAAGTTTTCAGAATAGCTAGCATTGTTGACTTTGGCTCTTCATATACACAAAACTCCATTCTGTAGTAATTATCTGTTCATGGTCTCAAAATGTTAATATTGAATATATATAAGACGTAATTATTCTTGTGCAAGTGTTTCACAACATTAGCTGATCAATGAAAACAAAGGACAAATTGACCAGATCATTTAATAAACAAACATTTAAATATTTCTTAAACTCTACGTACCTAAATTGATCAAATAAAACTTGAATAATGTTCATGACACTTTAGTAGAGCAAATTGAGAGGCATTCATACATTTAAATAGATGATTAATTTAGAGCTGTCCTATATAAATTATGGTGTTGCATCCATTTTTCTTTGAATATACAAAATAACACTTTTTCGAGAGGGAAACTAGAGAAATAGCTGAAAATGGGTATTGGGAAAATCGTGATAAATGTGATGTTAGTGGTAATGTTTATAGAACAAAATCTAGGGCAAACAACAACTAATTATGGTAACTCATTTGATGTGCTTAATAAAGAGAAGATAGTCTCGAAGATTCCTTACAAGAAAAGTGATAGGGGGAGCCATTGTGGCAAAAACGATAAGAAATATGATAATCTTCTTGGCAGAAAGGAAAAAAGATTTAGAAACCACAAAGATGACAATTTGTGATCTAGCGAAATGCTTTAAAGAGTATTGCGTTGAACATATTAGAGATCCTCCTCAGCTTTCATCGTGCATGGGAATATGCTCGGGAGATTGCTATCCCAAGGTGGTGAAACCTCGCGAGTAAAACTTATTGATCATAATTGGTATAAATCTTTGTCGTTTTGCTTCAAATATTTTATTAATTTAGTGCAAATTACCAAGATGTATAATTTTATAAATGTGATATCTAGCTAAACATATTAATATTGCTATTGTTCTCGTGAGGTAAAGATGCGATTTTGTATTTATGATCATACTCTTTTGATGGTTATTTTTGTTTGCATTCACATATATTGGAAAGATATATGTGTGTGTGTGTGCTACCTCATGTATGTATTCTAATGCATGTTATACACTTCGGGAAATTCTATCTCTAAAAAATTCTAATATTGTTACAAAGTTCAGATGCTATCCAATCATGCTTGTTCTTAATTGCTATATGGATTGGATTATTAACCTTTCTTAAAAAAAAAAAAGTCCATGTAAAAGAGGGAAAAAAATATCTCTTTTCTTTCACACTTGCCCATAGTATTTTATTTTTATTTTTATTTTTATTTTTATTTTACGTGCTTTATTTACATTACTGATGCAAATTCCCAAGGATCATTTTTTTTCCTTTTTTGCTGGTACCCAATGATCATTTTTTTTTTCGCTTGTACCCAATGATCATTTTTTTTCCGCTTGTACCCAATGATCATTTTTTTTTTCCGCTTGTACCCAATGATCATATGTTAGTACTAAGATGCACAACGATGAGTTATATATCATACGAAAAGGGTTTTCATTAGTCTACCGGTCTAACTAGCCATATTATTTTGTACCAAATTCATTTAAGGGTTTAGGTTTAATTATAGCGTTACGTGACGTTATTAGGCTCGCTTCATGAACTCAAGCTACGCTCGGAGAACTTCCGTGGGTTGTTGTTTGGTGGGCCATATGTGATCAAGTAGGCTTGTTTATCATTTAATTCGATTCAATTTGAATCACGTTTAAAGGGTTTTCAGAATTAATCGAATTAAATACAAATGAGTGACGGAGAATTTACCGATTTATGTAACATTTACAAAATGAAACATTTTTCCTCTTGATTTATGAACGTCTTTAATAGGAATAACACGTGTTATAGAAAAACTAAAGATTGTTGGACAATATGATGCAATTTTTACTATACTATCTCCTCCACATGATGTCACGAAGAACTGAGATGAGATATCATTCAAATATACCACTTTTGGAAAAATTTAAACCTAATTTTCACATCAAAATAGTAGAAAAATAGGTGTACTTAAAAGTAATATACAACTTAATTTACACATATTATGAAAACCTCGCCTTAGAGTTTTAAAATATTGCCAATAATCAAAAGATAATTCTTGAGTAGTACGCATGGTATAAGCATTATGGGTTGTAATGAGCTGCATATTGTCCCCTTTGTGCTAAGCCAGCACAGTTTTGATTTTGAAAGTTACCCCAAAAGGTTCCATTAGAAAGTAATGTTATTACTTAGAAATTATCACTTATAATCTTACCTTGTTTAAGCTTTTTTTTTTTTTTTTTTTTCTCAAGGGATTGGTGATTATCACATAGCTAATGCCGTAGCTGTTTTAGAGCTTTCTATCTGTCAAATATTGAGCCCGTTGAGAATTTTTTTTAAAGATTGCTTTTGCTTTTTTTTTTTTTTTGAAAAGTTACAGTAGAGCAGTTCATGGTGTTTGGTAAATCTTGTTTTTATCCAATAGCTTCTAAAAATTACTGTTAAATAACAAATATGAGAAGCAGGTCATGAGTTGTTTTTGCACAGTTACTTATGTTGTCATTGTCCAAATTTATTAAAATAATAATAAAACTTAATTCTCTATCTTTCTATTTTATTTTTCATACAAAATAAAAAATATACATTTTAAAATATTTATTTAAAAATTAAAAAAAATTCAATAAATATACTATGTTAATTTTTACTCAAATATTTTTAATAATTATCAAAATCTTAAAAATATCACCAATAGATAATAAATTTAACAATTTATGTTTTAGAAATATTTTAAATAATAAATTAAAATCATATATTGTTTTTAATTTTTTGGTGTAAAAATATTATGAATATTGATTTTAAAAATAAAATTGAAACTAACTATAAATATATGTGCTAAATTATGTCTATTTTAATCATTGTACATCTCCACGGTAATTTTATACATAATTTATCAAACACTTAAATTTTTATTGTTGGTATTTACAGTAGTTTTGAAAAAATATTTACCAAACAACTCTACGCTTCTGGTTACAACAATTTCTAAATAACAGTACAACAGCAGTAAAAATTTTTAACAGCAGAATAATGTCAAATTGGCCCATTATCTACTGGAGACCTTAAGACACTGCAATGAGAACTCAAATTACCTATCCAATCTTAGTACATAATATGATTTTTTTGCTACTCTAGCACATAATATGATTATTCAATCACATTATCTCACGTTATTTAAGAATTTGAAATAGTTTTTAGCTAATTTTTCCATGATTTACTATTTTAGTATATCAAATGATAAGACATAATATGATTCATCAGACACCAATCGAGGCTAGAGGCGTAAATTTTGGTCGGAACCGACCTGAAAACCTGCAAGAAAATGACCGCCTTGTTGTTTAATGAGGGAATTTTTTTTAAAAAAAAGAGTTTTAAAAAAAAGACAACATATGAGGTCGGGACCGATTATGTTTTAAGCTTAAACCTTTAGCTCATCGCAGCTTGAATATTTAAATAGACCAAGTTAGGATTAAAGTGTCGAGTTTCAGGTTGGCTGGTTTAGCCCGGTCCTAATTAACACCTCTTATTAAGACCTCAAAAATTGAACATGTATTCTACATAGAGATGGCAATAGGGCGGGTATGCTTTCTCGCCCCATACCTTACTTCTATTTTATCCCCTATACCCACCTCTATACCCACCTAATTTAAGGTGTGCTCGGGGAATCTCCATTATAGGAACTATTCCGATACCCTACCCATTTATTAGAGGTGAAAGTTCGGGCTGTCCGGCCTAGGCCGACAACCCATTATTTTCATTGGGTCAACTTGAAATTCATAAGGTATTTTTAAGAAAAAATAAAAAAGGTGTTCATGGCAGACCTTTAGGTCGAAACCTCAATCCGACTCGAACCAAACACTTAAGCGGATTGAGCCAACAATATTAGGCTTAGGCCAACCCTGTTTGGTCCGGCCCAAACTTTCACCTCTTCCATTTATCAATAAGAGTTTAAAAATTGTTTGCAACATTATCAAACTTTAAAGAAAATTTCATTAGATTAATTAGAAAATTCAACAACATATCAACTAATATCTTATAAAAATAAATTAAAATCGTAATGCCAAATCAAAATTCTAACAATAACAAACTAAATTTCAAAATTAAATTCAAATTTGAACATATGTAAGAATATTTGTAATTGGGATACGGACGAGGATGGAGACAAAGGAGCTACAAACACCCCTACCTCACCCTTAGAGTGTGTTTGGTATGATGAAAAAGTGAAAAGAATGAAGTATGTAGATGGATTATTGGATGAAAAATGATAGAGTTGATTGTTTGATAAGAAGGAAGAGAGGAGAGAAAGGAAAATAGGATGGAAAAGAATTATGATGGGGCCACTATTTTTATCTCTCCAACATTAGAAGGAAAACTCAAATTCACTCATTGATGGTTAAATTTACTTTTGTGTTGTTATTTTAAAATTTAAATTAATATTAAATAATTGATAAAATAATCATTTATGCTATTAGATATTTTTTTTCTTCTCATTATACCAAACACTATAAAAAAAAAATTAACTTCATTGGTTTCCTTCTCATTTTTTTTATATGTTTTTTTTTTCATTCTCTTTTCTTTTCCTCCTATCAAATGGAGTGTTAAATTGAGGGAAATTTTTACCTCATACCCGCCTCTACTCCCACAAAATATCATCCATATCCGCCCTAATAGAGCAGGTACCAGCGCAAGTACCTGTAATTATGGGTAAAAATGTCATCCCAAATTCTGAACCTGCGAGATGGACGGTTTTTTTTTTATTTTTTATTTTTGCTAATCCTGTGAGATGGAGTGGCAACTATCCCAGAACAAACGAGAGAATCGGGGTTTGCTTATCCTTATCCAAGCTAAGAGCATCAAGCAACGCATCCCAAACAGACAGCAAAGCCCAACCAAACAAGTCACCCAAAAGTAATACATAGAGACGACACCTCAGAAATGGCTTCCGCACTGTGTTGCAGAGCAAGATCAGTTTCTTCGCCCATTCTCTCCTCCGCCAGGATACGACGTCGTTTGCCTTTGGTGGGTGCGTTTTGTGTGATCAGCTTGGGCCTCTCCAATCTCTGCCCTTCTCTCTCCTTCAAAACGGGCTGCGCTCAGTCTCTCCCCTTTGTCCCTCTCTTCAAGTAATCACCAAATTCCATTTTTGTTTTTCCGTTTGATTTCACTCTTGTTTTGTTACTTTAATAATAGTTTCAAAATCTATTATTTTTTTTGTTGTTGTTTTGTAGATCGAAATTTAGTAGCCAATCACAGGCTAAGAGCTCCGGTTCTATCAGAATGGCAAGTGAAAGCAACACTGTTCCCAGCATCGTCGTTTACGTCACAGTCCCCAACAAAGAAGAAGGTTCTTTCTTTTTTATAAATATTTAATTTTGGTGAAATTTTGAGTTTTTCCGAACTGTTTTTTATTTTTATTTTTTTATTTTTTAAAGAGATATTTGTTTGCTTGGAGTGTTGCGTTTCAATGGAAAATGGGCAGTGATTGGAATGGTGTAAAGTCCTAGATTTGAGGAGCTTGTTCGTACCTTTAAATGTTTAGTTGGGTTGAAGTTTTTCTTTCGTAGATTAGAGCCAAAAACACTGGAACTTAGAGCGAAGGATAAGCTGGTTTGATCGTGTTTTATTTAGAATCTGGTCTCTCATATGAGATTAGTATTGAAACGATTTACGTCTGTATCTACACGAGCCTTAGATTGTTATGCCGCAGCAATAGTTACTGACTAGATTATTCAGAGCACCAATATGTTCACAAGCTGAGGATATTTTTTGTTTTAGGCTCATTTGTCGTATAGAAAGTACGTTTCTAGATATCTTTTCTCTTGCACTTTTTCTTCAGCTTTTTCTTTAAATTTGATTTTAATCAATAAAAGTTAAATCTTTTAACATCAGTTGGAAGATTTATTTTTCAAAAGACTTCTGATGGAAATTTCGTGATGCATTTTAGGAAAAAAGTTGGCTGAAAGCTTAGTGAGAGAGAAGCTTGCAGCATGTGTTAACCGTGTTCCAGGTATGTGGTTCATCCCTTAAATGTATGGTATTACAATATTTGTTAGTTGATAGTCATGGCGCTTGGTGTTTATGGCAGAGAAGATGCCTGCAATTCTGTATTTTGTTCATGAACAAGGCTTATGATCACCGGCAACGACCATCATCATCTATGTTAATCCAATTACACGAACATTTTAAACTTTAGGACCCTCAGATTATAATATAGGATAAAAACTAGTGGTAATGAACACCACTAATCATAATTAGTACCTTCCTTTGTCTATACTTTCTTTATTTGTGAAATAGGATTAGCTGGGAGGATGATCTGATTACTGAAAAGTTGCCGAAACACGCTCAAATGATGTTTGTTGAACCATTGTTGTCTGCTTAACTTATTTATAGTTTCATCTGTTCTGCTGATTGTTTTTTAGAGAACTATCTCGAAATCTTTATCTTGGATTTGGTGTCAATTAATATTCTTTAATGCCGGTTTCATGACTTGGCTGACTGTTATATGATGAACTTTGTGAACTCAGGTATTGAATCGGTCTACCAGTGGCAAGGAGAGGTATGGACAGTTTACGAATCCAAATATAGACACTTTGACATCTGGGGCTGGGAAATTTTTTATAGTTTGTTCACACGTTAATTGATAAGTTGTGCGTTCAGCAGGCGACTTAGCACAAGTAGAAAAATTGTTCCCTTTCTTATGTAAGCTGTTTTGCTAAACTAACAGGTCCAGACAGATGCTGAGGAGCTTCTTATAATTAAGACTAGAGAGTCCCTTTTGGAAGCTTTGAAAGAGCATGTCAAGGCGAACCATCCATACGAGTAAGCCCAAAGCTTATCGACTGTTACTTTAACATAATCTTCGGACTTCATGTGCCTTGGAAAACTGATTCATAAAATGGATAAACTAACTCATCTTCGGCGGCTTCGTGTGTTTAAATATTCGGGCAAGAAAAATCCAGCATTGTCACATTACCTGATAACTGCAACTGAAAGTAGAATTTACTAAAATGTATCTTGAAAGGACATTTATCTTTCAGAAGTAAATCAGCTTTCTGAATCGGTGTTTTGTGTTGGTCAGTGTCCCGGAAGTCATCGCCTTGCCAATCACGGGGGGAAGCACTGCTTACCTAGAATGGCTCAAAAACAGCACGAGGGACTGAACTTATCAAGCTAATATAGTACAAGCGCATAAAATCGTACAATGGCCCGTGGATTTGGGAGTTTTCTGCCGATATCTTCTCTCTAACTATCTGCTGTGTGTGTGGATGTGTCTGTGCGTGTTGGAAACATCTTAAATAAAAGTTTGCATTCCAACTTTGATGCGAGAAAGAGTAATTATAATCGTGTTGCAGTTGAATCCACTTTTTTTTTTGACATAATTAACACACAATTTGCACCAGTCATAACAATACGTGGTTAACATTCTATAGTAGCCGCCGCGATCACAACTTTCTTGAGAAATTTTCAATTGCATTGTCGCAAAATCTTGGTTTGTGCCGCGAGCATATGATGTCCTTTGCTAGTGCTGTCCCACAAGAACAATTGGAGGGGACATATTTTTTTGTTTCTTTAATCTCTAGGAGTCCAAGATGTGAATCAATTCGAGGTCTTATTAGTAATGTGAATGCAGCATTTAGCTCATAAAAATGGTGAGTATTATCATGACTCATCACCCAGCAAACGACAGCGACTGTGGTATTATCATGAGCGTGGCTCAATGAACTTTGACTCGTCAGATTATAGCTCCCATTATAACTTGTTTCCTAGTTGAAAAGTTCTCTCCAGCTGTCATCTTTTTGCACCAAGAGAAATGCCTCGCTTATATAGCTGAGGCTGGACTTACAAGATTTCAATCTTATCTGACAGGATAAGATTCACACTCTTTAACTTTTGACTTATGTTACAAAAGATAAAAACTATAAAGTGAAAGACACTTTTAAACAAACTTTGTACATGATAAGATTTCGGGTCCCGTGCAAAAAGATGATAGCTAGAGAGAACTTCTTTTCAACTAGGAGACAAAGTTGTAGTTAGGGGTGTAAGAATTGAACCCGAATCCGACAAACCCGTCCGACCCTACCCGAGCCTACCCGAAAATGTTGGGTTTTTTTTTTTTTTTAAT